TTTAACATTTTTTAACTAGTTTATCTTAACAACACATTTCATTAAAAAAATCTTTTTGAACCCTCATTATTATAGACATATTTTATCCTTCATTGTATCTAACTTTATTTTTTGTATACACAGAGGATTTCTTCTTCTAAAAAAATTTGGGATTCAACTTGGGCTAACAGATCAAAATATACCCTAAATCCAGCACAGGCCTTTGTTCTAGTCTCCGGCATAAGCAAATTCTCTCCACTTCCTTTTTCTTTATTCTCCCAACCAACTTATCTTATCAATCCTTTTTTTAGAAATTTAAAAAAAATTTCTTTCATCATATTTCATCCCTTCATCGTGTTTACCCTTATTATTTGGGGGTGTGTGTGTGTGTGTATTTTTGATTTTTTAAAATTTGGGGAGTTAGTTTCTTCTAAGAGACCGAAATACTCCCAAAATTAAGAGGGTTACTCTGTTCTATGCACCAGTCTAATATATATTTTTTCTTTTTTATATTTTTTCTTTATTTTTTCTTTTTTTAATTTTTATTTCCTGAACTTTTTACCCCTTACTTCCCCCTACAATTTGGGGTCTCTTCTGATTTTGTTAAAGCACATTTTCCTGGGGTCTTTGCCACCCTTTTCATATTTTATTTGCTCCTTCATTTATTCTTACCTGGATAACAACAGAATATACATTCTTCTCTAGTGCACATGGAACATTCTCCAGAATAGACCACATCCCGGGCCATAAATCAGGTCTCAACTAGTATCAAAAGATTGGAATCATTCCCTGCATATTTTCAGACCACAATGCTCTGAAGCTAGAACTCAACCACAAGAGGAAATTTGAAAAGAACTGAAATACATGGGAGACTAAAGAGCATCCTTCTAAAGAATGAATGGGTCAACCAGGAAATTAAAGAAGAATTGAAAAAATTCATGGAAACAAATGATAATGAAAACACAACAGTTCAAAATCTGTGGGACACAGCAAAGACAGTCCTGAGAGGAAAATATATAGCAATGCAAGCCTTTCTCAAGAAACAAGAAAGTTCTCAAATACACAACCTAACCCTACACCTAAAAGAGCTCGAGAAAGAACAACAAAAAAAGCCTAAACCCAGCAGGAGAAGAGAAATAATAAAGATCAGAGCAGAAATAAATGAAATAGAAACCAAAAAAACAATAGAACAAATCAACAAAATGAGGAGCTAGTTCTCTGAAAGAATAAGATTGATAAACCACTGGCCAGACTTTCAAAAAGAAAAGAGAAAGGACCCACATAAATAAAATCATGAATAAAAGAGGAGAGATCACAACCAACATCAAAGAAATACAAACAATTAAAGAACATAATATGAGCAACTCTACCCAGCAAATTTGACAATCTGGAAGAAATGAATACATTGCTAGGGACATATAAACGACCAAAACTGAACCAGGAAGAAACAGAAAACCTGAACAGACCCATAACCACTAATGAGATTGAAACAGTCATCAAAATCTCCAAACAAGAGCACAGGGCCAGATGGCTTCCCAGGGGAATTCTACCAAACATTTAAAGAAGAATTAATTCCATGGGGCACCTGGGTGGCTCAGTGGGTTAAGCCTCTGCCTTCGGCTCAGGTCAAGATCTCAGGGTCCTGGGATCGAGTCCCATATTGGGCTCTCTGCTCAGCAGGGAGCCTGCTTCCCCCCTCTCTCTCTCTGCCTGCCTCTCTGCCTACTTGTGATCTCTGTCAAATAAATAAACAACATCTTTTTTAAAAGGAATTAATTCCTATTCTCCTGAAACTGTTCCAAAAAATGAAAATGGAAGGAAAACTTCCAAACTCATTTTATGAGGCCAGCATTACCTTGATCCCAAAACCAGACAAGGATCCCATAAAAAAAGAGAATTACAGACCAATATCCTTGATGAACACAGATGCAAAAATTCTCACCAAAATACTAGCCAATAGGATCCAACAGTACATTAAAAAGATTATTCACAATGACCAAGTGGGATTTATTCCAGGGCTGCAAGGTTGGTTCAACATCCACAAATCAATCAATGTGATACAATACATTAAGAAAAGAAAGAGCAAGAACCATATGATACTCTCAATAGATGCTGAAAAAGCATTTGACAAAGTACAGCATCCTTTCCTGATCAAAACTCTGCAAAGTGTAGGGATGGAGGGTACATACCTCAATATCATCAAAGCCATCTACGAAAAACTTCTGGCGAATATCATTCTCAATGGAGAAAAACTCAGAGCTTTTCCGCTAAGGTCAGGAACACGGCAGGGATGTCCATTATCACCACTGCTATTCAACGTAGTACTAGAAGTCCTAGCCTCAGCAATCAGACAAACAAAAAGAAATTAAAGGCATCCAAATCAGCAAAATCGTCGTCAAACTCTCACTCTTTGCAGATATGTTACTTTATGTGCAAAACCCAAAAGACTCCAGTCCAAATCTGCTAGAACTTGTACAGGAATTCAGTAAGGTGTCAGGATATAAAATCAATGCACAGAAATCAGTTGCATTTCTATACACCAACAACAAGGCAGAAGAAAGAGAAATTAAGGAGTCAATCCCATTTACAACTGCACCCAAAACCATAAGATACCTAGGAATAAACCTAACCAAAGAGGCAAAGAATCTATACTCAGAAAACTATAAAGTACTCTTGAAAGAAATTGAGGAAGACACAAAGAAATGGAAAAATGTTCCATGCTCATGGATTGGAAGAACAAATATTGTGAAAATGTCTATGCTACCTAAAGCAATCTACACATTTAATGCAATCCCTATCAAAATCCCATCCATTTTTTTCAAAGAAATGGAACAAATAATCCTAAAATTTATATGGAACCAGAAAAGACCTCGAATAGCCAGAGGAATACTGAAAAAGAAAGCCAAAGTTGGTGGCATCACAGTTTCAGACTTCAAGCTCTAGTACAAAGCTGTCATCAAGACAGTATGGTACTGGCACAAAAACAGACACATAGATCAATGGAACAGAATTGAGAGCCCAGAAATAGACCCTCAACTCTATGGTCAACTAATCTTTGACAAAGCAGGAAAGAATGTCCAATGGAAAAAAGACAGACTCTTCAACAAATGTCACTGAGAAAATTGGAAAGCCACATGCAAAAAAATGAAATTGGACCATTTCCTTACACCAGACTCAAAATGGATGAAGGACCTCAATGTGAGATAGAAATACATCAAAATCCTTGAGGAGAACACAGGCAACAACCTCTTTGACCTCAGCCATAGCAACATCTTCCTAGGAACATCGCCAAAGGCAAGGGAAGCAAGGGCAAAAGTGAACTACTGGGACTTCATCAAGATCAAAAGCTTTTGCACAGCAAAGGAAACGGTTAACAAAACCAAAAGACAACTGACAGAATGGGAGAAGATATTTGCAAATGACATATCAGATAAAGGCCTACTATCCAAAATCTATAAAGAACTTAACAAACTCAACATCCAAAGAAGAAATGATCCAATCAAGAAATGGGCAGAGGACATGAACAGACATTTCTGCAAAGAAGACATCCAGATGGCCAACAGACACATGAAAAAATGCTCCACATCAGTTGGCATCAGGGAAATATAAATCAAAACCACAATGAGATATCACTTCACACCAGTCAGAATGCCTAAATTAACAAGTCAGGAAATGACAGATGCTGGCAAGGATGCAGAGAAAGGAGAACCCTCCTACACTGTTGGTGGGAATGCAAGCTGGTGCAGCCACTCTGGGAAACCATATGGAGGTTCCTCAAAAAGTTGAAAATTGGGGTGCCTGGGTGGATCAGTGGGTTGAGCCGCTGCCTTTGGCTCAGGTCGTGATCTCAGGGTCCTGGGATCGAGTCCCGCATCGGGCTCTCTGCTCAGCAGGGAGCCTGCTTCCCTCTCTCTCTGCCTGCCTCTCTGTCTACTTGTGATCTCTCTCTGTCGGGTAAATAAGTAAAATCTTAAAAAAAAAAAAAAAAAGTTGAAAATAAAGCTACCCTATGACCCAGCAGTCGCAGTACCGGGTATTTAGCCTAAAGATCCAAATGTAGTGATCCGAAGGGACACGTGCACCCGAGTGTTTATAGCAGCAATGTCCACAATAGCCAAACTATGGAAAGAACCTAGATGTCCATCAACAGACGAATGGATAAAGAAGATGTGGTGTATATATATGCAATGGAATACTATGCAGCCATCAAAAGAAATGAAATCTTGCCATTTGCGATGACGCAGATGGAACCAGAGGGTATTATGCTTAGCAAAATAAGTCAATTAGAGAAAGATAATTATCATATGATCTCCCTGATACGAGGAAGTTGAGAGGCAACATGGGGGTATTGGGGGGTAGGAAAAGAATAAATGAAACAGGATGGCATCGGGAGGGAGACAAACCATAAGAGTCTCTTAATCTCACAAAACAAACTGAGGGTTGCTGGGGTGAGGGGGGTAGGGAGAGGGTGGTGGGGTTATGGACATTGGGAAAGGTATGTGCTATGTTGAGTGCTGTGAAGTGTCTAAACCTGGTGATTCACAGACCTGTACCCCTGGGGCTAATAATACATTATATGTTAATAAAAAATAAAAAATTTTGGTAACAAAATGTTTTGTTTATACTGATGTGAAGGATGGAGGGTGAACAGAGTAGGAAGACAATCTTCCTGAATGAAAGAATGAATGGCAAAAAAAACAAAAGAAAGAAAAAGAAAGAATGAATGAATGGCAATCAGAATTCATTGCCCATGGTCAATCCCATAATGAAATACATTTCTAGGAAATGCTGCTTTGAGAAGACTGGTTCCCATTTGGGTGTACCTTATTCTACGTTTATATAGCTCTTTGCTCTTTACAAAGTGCTTTCACATTCCTAATGCAGCACTGTAACAAACAGGAAAGGACAGTGTCATGTAGATGAGAACAAAATAGAAACTCTTGGAAGCAAAAGAGCATGACTCAAGAAGGGGAATTCCTGTTGTCTTAAGAGGACTGTAGGTATATAAAAATGCCTTACATATGCCAGTCAAGAACCTTCTTTCACATTCAGCGTTTCTACTCCCTCCAAGAAGAGTATCAACACTGAAGCAGCAGCAACAGCCGGGAAAGACAAACATGAGTGTGAAGGGCATGGTTATAGCCTTGACTGTGATAGTCTGTGCTACAGTTGTTGAAGGTATATGGTAACTTTTATTTCTTAGCTTATAAATTCATTTTCTAATGCTTCAAATGTCTTTGTTTCCATCTTTTCTTAAAAGATTTAGTAAATTTTTATTTAATCTCACACATTAGAAGTTACTACTGCTTTGACAGACAGTGTTTGAAGTGTTTAAGGTACTAGAAGTGATTATTGAAACTGGAATTGATAAACTTCATGGAGTTTTTGATTTGGCTACAATATCTGGCAAGAGCCTTTAGCAATAGTTTTAAATGTCTGTTAAGAAGATTTTATGTGAGATAATATAATTAGGTTTCTGGATATATTCTTGAGCATGGAAACGAGGAAAATTATCTTAATCTCCAATAACTTTTCATGCTTCCTTTTATTCTTTAGCGGTTTACAAATTTAAAGAGAGAATCAACGTGTTACTTATGTTCCTTTCCCAGTAACGGCAGTGTCAAGTGCTATCTGACAGATTGCTATCTTTATCCTTAATGAGAACCCTGCTCACCTTCACCAGAATTATAAACTACAATCATCTGTTGCAATCGGAAGTATTAGTAACTGATGCTGTGATCTGTTCTAGGTTTCCCCATGTTCAAGGGGGGACGCTGTCTTTGCATAGGCCCTGGAGTAAAAGCAGTGAAAGTGGCAGATATTGAGAAAGCAACCATAATTTACCCGAGTAACAGCTGTGACAAAATAGAAGTGATGTAAGGAATGAACTTGCTAAAGACGACAGTGGTGGGAAGCTTTTTTATGTTTTCGTTTTGCTTATGTTTTTCCAACCAAAATTTGAAACTATTTTGGGTCTTCCCTTAACAGTATCAACCTTAAAGCACATAAAGGACAAAGATGCCTAAATCTCAAATCGAAGCAAGCAAGCATTATCATCAAGGTAACGTATCAGATTACTGGTATTTTATAATTAATTTTAACCAAGACAGATCTTTTGAGAAAACAGACTTGAAGAAAGATTGTTCTGCTAGGATTTTGTGCGAAGCATTTTGATAAGAGGGCTTTGATTTCACTAACTTTCCTTTTCTGCCAGAGGTTTTTACATGTCAACTTAATCACCGGGAAACAAGAACAGCACAATGCCAAAAAAACCTCTCATTTTCTCATTTCAGAAAATTCAAAGAATGAATTTTTTAAAACATCAAAATGTATGAAGTCCTGGGGAAAGAGGATTTTAAAACCTAGAACAAGTTTAACTGTGACAACTAAAGTGATAAGAATTCCACAGTAAGAAACGGATTTTCTTCCTGCCCGTTGTAAAGTACATTCATTCACTTCTATCTCAGCAAACCCCAGAAATCTGTTAGAACTATTCTTTTATGTCCAAGACAATATTTCTGTATCTAGAAGTTATGTGTTTGTACTGGATCTATCCTGCCATATTACAACCTTCACTTACAATGGCGATATTGACATTATTGCTGGAGTCGAGACTGTATGAGTTGAATGTATCCATGTGCGTAATAAATATTCCCCAAATAATTTTTAATGCAAATCCACATTTTTCCCCAAAATCACAGCACATATATGTTCTTATATATATTACCATTTTATAAAAAGGCTGTAATTCATGAAATGTACTATGAAATAAATTATAAGCTAAGGAAACAGATAAGACTATAAATATTTCATAACTGAATTAGTATTTCTGGCCTTAATTTTACTTTTTTTAGCAACTTTTTTTTCATTGAGATTTTGTTGTGGAGGCTTGGTTTTATTTATTTATTTTTTAAGTCAGCTCCACACTGGGAGCCTAACACAGGGCTTGAATTCCCAACTCTGAGATCAAGACTTGAGCTGAGACCAAGAGTCGGACACTCAACCAACTGAGCCACCCATGCACTCCTTTCATTGAGATGTGCAATAAGGATATGTGTGTTTACTGTGCATTTTGGTTTTATATATACTTAAAAATTGTAGCAATAATTTGGATACATTTTAACTTAAATATAAAACACTTTTGTCTACCAAAAAATGTTGAATTTTGAATATATGCATATGTCTGGCAATCACCTCTTTCTGGGGTTTTCTTTTTTTAATTTAAATTCCAGTTATAGTTAATATACAGTGTGATATTAGTTTCAGGTGTAGAATTCAGGTGGATTCAACACTTACATACAACACCTGGGTGCTCATAAGTATCCTCCTTAATCCCCATCACCTATTTAACCCATTTTTCCTCCCACCTACCTCCCCTTGGTAACTATCAGTTTGTTCTCTATGGTTAAGACTTTGTTTCTTGGTTTGTCTTTTTTCCCCCATGTTCATCTGTTTTGTTTCTTAAGTTCTACGTATAAGTGGAATTTATGGTACTTGTCTTTTTCTGACTGACTTATTTCACTTAGTGTAATAATACTTTCTAGCTCCATCTGAGTCATTGCAAATGGCAAGATTTCATTCTTTTTTATGGCTGAGTAGTATTTCATTATATATATATATCACAGTATTTCACTGTGTGTGTGTGTGTGTGTGTGTGTGTGTGTGTGTGTGTGTATACATCACATCTTCTTTATACTTTCAATAATCAGTGGATATTTAGGCTCTTTCCAAAATTTGGCATTTGACGAAGTATAACATCCATTCATGATAAAAACCCTCAACAAAGTAGGATTAGTAGGACATACTTCAACATAATGAAGGCAATATACAAAAAAACCTATGGCTAATATCATCCTCAATGGGTAAGAACTAAGAACTTTTCCTCTGTGGTAGGAACAAGCCAGGGATATACACTCTCACCACTACTATATAACATCGTCCTGGAAATGTTAGCCACAGCAGTAAGACAACAAAAAGAAATAAAAGGAATCCAAATTGGCAAGGAGGAAGCCAAACTTTGACTATTTGCAGAGGACATGATACTCTATATAGAAAACCTGAAAGACTTCACCAAAAAATTGCTAAAATTGATACACATATTCAGTGAATTCACAGGGAATAAAATCAATATACAGAAATTTTTTGTTGCATTTCTATACACCAATAATAAAACAGCAGAAAGGGAAATTAGAATATCAATCCCATTTACAATTGCACCAAAAACCGTAAGATCTTTAGGAATAAACCTAACCAAAGAGGTTAAAGATCTGTACTCCAGGATTCTTTTTCTTACATAAACACATAATCTACTTTTTAGTCATGCCTACACCATGAAATTTGGTGTTATCGAGATAATTTTAACTTGAAAAAAATCAAAATCATTTTCTTGTAGTAAAATATCACAAATTTTCTTAAAACAGAAACAATATGCTTTCTAAAAATTGAGATGCCTTTAACAATTTTAATTGTATTTCAAGAAATAAACAGCTACCTGTCATCACACAGAATTGTTTAGAAATATATTTTAATGGGTAACTGTGAAAGACAGTGGTCTTTTTTTTTAAAGGGGGTCTTCCTAGGTCCAAAACCCCTCTTACTCAGGGAAAATCCCTTATTATGGGAATCCGGGTTGGAGGTCAAAAGAGAAAAACCAAAGGAAGGAGATCCTCCCAGGCAGCCAGAGCAACGTCTTAGCATGATCACTCCTACCCTACCTAGACTTTGAACTCCAGCTGGCACTACAAAGATGTTATCAGTAAAAAAAAAAAAAAAAAAAAGTATTTAAAGTGGCAGTAGTAGTAATATAAATCTTAGGTTTGTGGCTTCCTAACACATATTCCTGTAGCATGACTATGGCTAGTCCTTCTGGTAACCTAGCTCTCTTGGGTTTTTTTCCATTTTCTAAGCCTGATTCTTCAGTCTTCCTACAGATTCTTCAACTAACAATTAAATTCCTTTTCTTTTGAAGCTAACCAGTCAGTGTTGGTTTCTCTGTATGTAACCAAAAATCTTAGCTGATTTAGCACTTTATACAGATACCTAGATATTTGTTTATTTAAAAACAAAAAAGAGGGGCACCTACATGGTTCAAATGGTTGGACATCTGCCTTTGGCTCAGTTCATAATCTCCAGGTCTTAGGATCAAGCCCCGCACTGGGCTCCCAGCTCGGTGGGGAGTCTTCTCCCTCTGCCTCTCCCCATGCTTGTGCTCTCAATCTCTTTCGCAAATGAATAAAATCTTTTCTTAAAAAGCAATTTTAACATATCATTTGTGCATCTTTTCCATTGATATCAGAGCCAGCCATAAAGCAGATCAGAGAACCGACAGATAAGTAAATAGCAGAGCAGGGTATCTGGCTCCAAACAGGCCCTCTTACTGACTGGCTTTCTGACTGGTGCCTATAAGCAATAATGAGATGTCAACTATTATCCAAGGTATTTGTATATAAACCTATATAATTTATATCACAAATTATAGTATAATATAGATATATATAGTATAAAGACATAGTATAGACATACAGCGTAAATATATATTTTATATATCACTAACTTACATCAACTTCCATACTGAAATGAGACTTCTATATAAATACCTAGGATGGTTTTAAGACCTGGATCTAGTATTTTACTATTGGCAGTCATTTCCTTTTTTAATAATATCTTTAAAAATTCATTGAGTTAGAACTACATGATAAATTTGGTTCTTTTAGAAAAATAGTATAGACCAGCAATAATCTACTCAATTATTACTGAGTAGATAACATATATTTAAATGTCTTCATGGCAAAATAAGCATATTAAAAAATAAATAAACTTGAGCTAAGATTCTTCCCACCTCAGTACCTTTGCAAATACTATTCCTTCTGCTTATTTTTTCACTAAACTAATGCCTACCAATCACTTAGATCTCAGCTTAAATGACATTTTCAACAGGATGTCATGCGTGAAACCACCCCTTCAATCTCAGACTAGATATCCTATTTATTTCTTTTCATAACACTGTCTTTTTTCTATTACACTATTTATTGCAACTATAACTGTAAAAATTCTTCCTCTGCTTTATATCTACTCTCCCTCCCACAAGTATAAACTCAATAAGAAAGCCATTTTAGTCCTAATCCACAGTAAAGTGCCGGGCACATGAGACTTTCAAAATATTTGAGAATAGAATGACTGGCAACAGAAACTAACTGGTTTGAAGTGAAGGTACAAAGGACTTCAAAAGTCCATCTAAACAACCTTGAGTTTTACTCTTTATATAAAGTGGAGATTCAAGAAATGTTCAAGAATAGGAGATTGAGCCATCCAGTTATTCTAAATTATTCTGGGAATAGGACACAAGGTTGACTGGAATTGGGAAAGACTGGGAAAAAAATATTTTTTCATAATTCAAGTCTGTATTTCCTAAACTTCATGTGATTCTAATATCATCTTCATAACTTTTTACCACATTTTCTGATCCATCTTCATTATATTTTGTCAAATCTGTGTATCGCCTTTATTTTACTTACATTTACATTAAAAGGCAAATTTTCACTGCTGTATGTGAAATCAGTGTCACCTGCTGTAGAAATAAAATGTAACAATAAAAGGAAACACAATGAAAAAATACTAAATTCCAGCTAGATGTTATTGTGTGCCAAATTTCAAAACCTCAGGCCTTCTCTGTCAAACAGAGATGAACATTGTTGATAAGGTGGTTGAAAGCCATACTAATACCAAATTGGGACTTTCCATGATTTAACAAGGGGTACTAAAATTACAATGAGACTGACTAAACTAATATTACATGTTACTATCAGTGAGCCCCCCCGATATTGTCCCACATTTCCGGTAACACCGGTTTGAAAAGTAAGGGGAGTAATTTGAACAGCATTACCATACAACCCACCAATCCCACTCCTGGGTATGTAACTAAAAGAAATGAAAACAGTTATTCAAACAAAAACTTGCACACAAATGTTCAGACAGCACTACTCACAATAGCTGAAATGCAGAAACACCCAAATATCCATCAAACGATAAATGGATAAAGAAAATGTGGTGTATATTCACAATAGAATATTATTTAGCCATTAAAAAGAAACGAAATACTGACATAGGCTACAATACAGATTAACCCCAAAAATAAGACGCTAAGGGGCTCCTGGGTGGCTCAGTCAGTTAACTGTTCAACTCTTAATTTTGGCTTGGGCTCCACACGCTCAGCATGAAGTCTGCTTGTCTCTCTCCCTAACCCCCACTCCGCCACTTGTGCTGTTTGTCTCTCTCACTCTCTCTCTAAAATAAACAAAAACTCTGGGGTGGGTGGGAGAAGATGCTAAGGAAAAGAACCAAACACAAAAGGTAATATATGTATGATTCCATTTATATGAATTATCTAGAATAGGCAAATCCATAGAAATGGAAACAGATTAGTGGTTGTCAGGGGCTGAGAGAAGATAATGAGAAGGGACTGCTAAATGGGTACAGAGTTTCTGTCTGGGTAGTAAAAAAGGTTTAGAACTTTAGAGAATAGTGATGATTGTATAACACTGTGAGTGCGCTTAAAGCCACTGAATTGTATACTTTTAAGTGGTTAAAATGTTAACCTTT